TAAATTAAATTTCACAGTTATAACTTTTTATAGTAGAATAACTATACAATGATATACATCAGGAAATTTTATGAGGCAGAAACTTGCGAAAGTTTGCGCAAGTTTCTGAAGGTGTCAAAAATTTTCACAAATTTTTGTACGTTTTTCCTGTTTATTAACTTCGCTTGCGATTTTCGAAGCACAAAGTGATTTTCTACTAAGGTGTTTCTAAGATAGATAGAACGGCCTTGTTCTTGGCTACAAAATGGTATGTGTTTAATCCTTGTAGCATTAATATTCGCGAAGTTATTCCGGTTTAAAAAAGAGTGTCCGTGAAAAAAAATCACAAAAATTTTTGCAGAATTTTGCACCACAAAATTTTCCAGAAATTTTTGCACAATATTTTTTCTTGGACACTCTTTCTTTAAACTGAAATAACTTCACAAATATTGATGCTACAAGGATGAAACACATATTATTTTGTAGCCAAGAACAAGACTATTCTAACTATCTTAGAAATATTTTAGTAGAAAATTACGAGTGAAGTTAAAAAAACGGAAAAAAATGCACGAAAATTTGTGGAAATTTTCAACACCTTCAGAAATTTTCGCAAGTTTTCGCCTTGTAAAATTTCCTGATGAATGTCATCTTTTTTAAATTTTTTTAAATCACATTCATTATTTTTTGATCTTTTAGGATAAAATGCAATAATGTGAATGAATTTATTAATATTTTGATGTTTTGCAAAAGAAATACCAATAGCATTCACTATAAAGTTTATTTGTGTAGATATTTCATTATATTGATCAATATAATAAATGGTACTTAAATTACAGGGCATTTTTTTTAAATGAAATAAAAAAAATCTTTTACAAAAAATTTAAACAGATCAATTTATTTTTTTTAAATAAATAAAAAAATTTAAAAAGATTAATTTATTTTTTTAAATAAAAATTTCTTATTTTTTTTTGTAGCTAAAAATCTTTTTTTCCTATCTCCCAGCCTCATTTTTTTTTATCTTGAGTTTTTTTTTCTCACCTCATTTTTTTTTATTTATTTATCTCAGCGCTAGTGAAAATATTTTTTTATATTTTTATTTATGTATAGTAATAGAGATAAATAAACAAAAAATTCCAGATTTATTTATTTTTTATTATTTTTATTTTTTTTATTAAATAAATAAATAATAAATATATAATAATAAAATATAAATATTTATAATAAATAAATATTTATGTTACCTTCTCATGATTCTGTTGTTTTTGTTTGTTGAAGAATAAAAAAAATATTTAATCAACCTCTATTCATTGAGGTAAAAATTTTTTCCTCCTATTTCTACCTTCTAACTATAATTAGAATTATAATTATAATTAGAATTTAAATTAATATTAATATTAATATTAGAATTTAAATTATAATTTATATAAAAATGACTGGTGTGGGAATGCTATATTAGGGAATTTTTTTTTTGAAAAGGAAATTGTTTACATAGCACCACTTTCTTAATTCGAACAAAATCTACATTAAAAATAAAAATCACAAATAAAAAAAATCACCAGATTTTTATTGTACAACCCTTCATTATCTTATATACTGTAATTAAAAATCATTTTTTATTTATTTTGCAATGAATAATAAAACATCATATCAGTATCTCCAACAACTTTTAGAAAGCTCAAAAACTACAAAGGCCAAATGGAAATCTTAAAGATATTTTAAAAATTAAAGAATTGAATATTGAAATGCAAAAAGGTATTATCGAGATGTTATTAAATTTGAAGAAGCTTCTGCAATTATGCATAATTGTCATAAAATTGAAAAAGTTTTCAAAAATTATCTTAATGCTATTAATGCACAATTTCTAATATATGACTTTGAAGATACACACGAAGAACCACGTGGTAAAGTAAAAAAGGTGAAAATATTTAATAAATTAGAAGTTGCATTAAAAGAATTTGATAATGATCAAATCCCGAATTTTAATATACAAATTAGTATTTTAACACGAATCAAAGATTCCCAAGATATTATTCAGTTCCATGGATTTATTGAAGACAAAATTCACTCCAAAAAATATCTTATCACAGAATAGGCAGAACATGAAGATTTATGTAGTTATTATAAAAATTCAAAAAAAAAATGGAAATTAAGATTTGCAAGAGGGTTAAACTTTTTAGAGGTCTATGAAATATATCATCATGATCATCATGATGTTCGAAATGAAAATGTAATGATTACTTTTCACAAACAAGCTAAGATTGCAGTTAATATTACATCTACAAGTGTCACGTTATATGGCACCTAAAAAATTAAATGATATATTGTCAGAACAATATGAAAAAGTTAAGTCAATCAGTCTCAATAAATTTAGGTCAATCACACAATAATTCAATGTATTATTAACACACTATTTCTTGTATACAATATCTCAAGACAGGCAATCAGTCGATCTAAACTATACGTGTTGCCCAAATCCCAAATCATTTGGGATTTGGGATGCCAAAATTCCAAATTACTAGTATTTGGGATTT